GAAACCAAGTATTGCGTAGGCCATGTCTCTCAAGTTCAGGAATAAGAAATTCGCCAATCATAGTTCGGTATCTTTCACTATTAACTGTTACTGTTGCGCCATCATTATTTTCAAAAAAGTATGGGCCAATCCGTCGACACGAAGAGAATGCAGCGGCCTTTCTTGAATTTATCTTGGATTTTCATCGCACCAAATTCTAGAAAGGGTTTTCTTTCGAATAAAACAAGTTTCAATGTCCTAGCGTTAAAGGTTTTCGTTTATTGGCAAATCAAAAGGGTCAGTTACTTCTGAGACACCCTGTATATGCTTGTAACTAGATGCTCGTGGAGTTCTGGACAGGAATCCGACACTTTTTTAAAGGTTTTGAACATTGCGGGATAACCATGTCAGTAAAAATACTTCCAACGTTCTACTTGACTGACTGTTTATTCGGTTGACGCCGATTCAAGAGCTCTAATCCTTGCAGGGGGAAGAAGGACTAAACAGTACGCAGAAACAGTTTTATGGCAGGACTTAGTATATGTCTCCGAACGTTCAGAACGTTGATTCAAACAAAGTTTAAAGAGCGGAATGTGACCTTACTGGAAGTAAATGGTCACCAAAAATTATTAACATACTCCCAAGCCCCTGGCTACCCACTAACGTTCATCTAACTGTGTATGTCCCTTAGTTGGTATAATAATCGTAACAAACTTCGGCAAAATTAATGTGAGTAGTGGGTCTCATGTACCCCTTGCCCCAGAATTCCATCTTATTGGACCGGTGGTCATAGGGACATTAGGGGTGGGGAATTACTACAGGCAGTGAAGGAAATTTGTGGAATTTAATCAGTGCAGCATCGACGATGCGGTGCATAATTAAGCTGGAATGCTGGAATACTCTTTAATAACTTATAGGCAGCTAAGCTATTAATTCCGCTGACCTGTAACAAATTTATACATGGCTGTTTGTTCAAATAGCTATTATTTATTCAATACTTTTTTTCGATTTACGTGCTCTAATACGTGGCTATATAGCGGCCGCTGTAAAAAAATAAACCACAGTTACCAGTTTATACTTAATTCTGCGAGTGTCCTTTACTGCCTATCCTATTTCCCCACCCGCAAAACCCCTAATAACATCGTTCCCGTACGATAGAATACTGGGGTTTGGGGTATGTGAGGTGCACTACTCAAAATTCCTTTGCCCGAACTTTTTTTCAGGTAGTCAATCGAGTTCTTTTAACTTCTGTTAATCTATCCAGTCCCAGTTTTTCTTGAGAAGTAACATTATTTTTTGACTCGTAAGCTTGATGCAACGCCGCAAAAACACGCACATAACAAACCAACAGTCTCTAGTTACAAAGCGGGACTTAAGCGTGACGTGTTGTAGTCCACCATTGGACTGCACTAAGTCCCTTGCAGATCGCAGTTATGCCATCCTAACCGACCGTTACTTTGGCTAACCAGCGTTGGCTACCTATTTTTATCGGCCAGCGTTCACAAAATATTTACTGCTCAAAGGGTATGTGGCAGAAATTAGTGAGCCTAATTTCAAGTCTGACCGACATGCCAAGTCATTTCATCGAGTTTCGAGAGCCTAGCGGTAGCGTGAGCCTGAGAGAACTCCTGATTATTTTGACTTGTGTGCTCCCGCACTGCACATCGTCAAGTAACCTAAGTTGGCAGACCATAAATTATAATCTAACAATCCAAACTACTTAATTCAAATAAGTAGTGAGGCAAGTAAGTATTCAATACTTTTCCGATAAGTTTTAGGACAAAGGAAGTTTACGCTATTCTGCTGAATCTTCTATGCTTCTATCTTCCCCTGGCCTCCATTGGAACATTTTCCCATCTTTCAAAAATGCCCAGTCAAATTCACCGTTTTTAGGCTCAACTCGTGGCTGGGGAATCTTGTGAGAAATTAGCAAACGGCATACTATACACACAACTGGCGTATTTTCTATTATTGATTGCTATTTAAACTCTTCCCACCCTGTCAAGGGAGGTAATTTACTTGAACGATGGCTCAAAAATGAATCCATCTCTCCTTTGCAGATGATCAGCGCAATGATTCACCCTGGTGGAGGGCGAAATGACATACCACAACGTTTGAAACGCCAGTTTGCTGTGTTTAATTGCACTCTACCCAGCAACGCCTCAACGGACAAAGTGTTCGGATGTCTTGGCATGGGCCATTTCTGTCCGGAGCGTGGGTTCTCGCCAGAGGTCTGTAAACTCACCAGTCAGCTGGTTGTTGCGACTCGACATCTCTGGCATGCAGTTAAGGTGAAGATGCTGCCGACGCCGGCCAAATTCCATTACATCTTTAACTTGCGGGATGTGAGCAGAATTTGGCAGGGCATGCTCTGTGCTGGAAGCGACGTCATTTCAAACTCGAAGGCTCTGCTTTTGCTGTGGCAACATGAGTGCACGCGGGTCATTGCCGACCGTTTCACCGAAGCGCAAGACCTGCAGTGGTTCACAAGGGCCCTGATTAAAACAGGTGAGACAGGTTTGCACCAAAGTACCTGGTAACAGTCGCGTTTACTAATCAGAACGCTTATTTCGCATACCTGTCTACTTATGTAATAGTAGTAGACGTGTTTTGTTGTTTTTTCATCCACATATAACCTTAACAGTTTAATTTAGCTAACTTTAGTAAGTTTAGTTCAATTAGTTGACCTAAAGTTTTATCAGTTTTAGGGTTCCATTTAGTTTAGTTGGTTTAGTTGAGTTTATTTTAGTTTGCCTTTGTTTGATTACTTTATTTCAGTTTTAGTTTAGTTTTAGATTTATTATCGACATCCGGTTGCTGTTCTGGTTTAACTGTCTACTAGTTTAGTTTATCGCAGTTAAGTTAGTTGGTTTTATTTAACTTTATTATATTTTTCAGTTGAGTATTTATATTCGTTTAGTTTAATATTATCCTTTATAAATTTTATTCTAGTTTTGGATTATTCTTTAGTATATTTAGTTGAGCTTACTTTATTTGACTTTAGTTTTGGTTTAATTTTAGGTTTATTAATGATATGCGGTCTTTGCTTTATTTTTTACTTTAACTTAAACTCGAAATTCACATTTTTTGGATTCTTCCGCAAATTTGGGCGGTCCCAGATAGTTGCGTAGTTGCACATTTTGCCTGATTCTTGGCTCCTGTTGATGTTATTTCTCTGTTTATTTATGGCACGCTTCTGGTCGCGAATTTTTCACAATTGGGTCAACTGAATTATTTAAATCTGTCAAAATCTCCTAATAATTGAGTGAGCCTAGTAGACCTTCTGGTTGAATCTAGATGATTGCTTTGGGACCCTTAACTGGGCAGTCAGCTTTCTGTATCTGTACTGGTGGATTCCATACGAGCAGTAGGTTGGCGGCAAAATCGACCTAAGTATGATTAAATTCACAGCTCACGGTTAGCCTCGTAGCTCAATGGTAGAGTGTTGGCTGCGCAAGAGCCTTCCCTGCTGTGTGGGTTTGTCTTCCGCCGAGGCCTTTAATGTTTCACAATTGGGTCAACTGCAACTTTATGATACAGCTTGATTGCTGGCAAGTATCATGTTGCACGAAGGATGTTCACTTAGAGTCTCGTAAGTCCTTTAGGCCGCAGAAAATTGCACAGTTAGCTCAGACTAATTTATACACCAGCGTCAGGCTGCCTGTTCCGTGGAAGATGGAAACTACAGTTTCCCTACAAAGGGAACTAGTTTTCGCAATGAATTCTGGTACACTCCAACACCCCCCCTCCCCTGCTTGCTGAAGCCGCGACAGGCTGCCGGAAGTTCTACTGGTGGTTCCCATCTCCTAGATGCGCGAGGACGGAGCCATTCATCCTTCTAATCCCTAAGCAATGCTGATATTAATTTTCTCGTCCTACTTGCATTAGAACCTGCTCGTTGGATCAGTCTGGCGTGTGAGACAGAGAAGAACCTAACTACCTAGTAATCGAATTCTCGGCAATCCACATCCAAAGAAACTGGGAGATTACTTCTGACGTGAATAGCTGAGCACGTAGTAGCAGTAGAGATGAGGAATGATGTTGGCTCTCAAATTGTGGCTCCTTCGACGGGACTCGACCACACCTTCAGGTTTAATTAGGATGTATATTTCACAAGCGTTGCCAGTTGCGCGAACCGCAAGTTGCTCGACTCGTGGTCTATTCTAACCGTCTAAAAACAAGCCCAAGGACCTTCTCAGTTCCCATTCTCAGCGTAGACCCCGCTTCGCCAAAGCAATTCGCTACTCGGGAGCGCACAGGCAAACACATCTTTCAACTTCGCTGCCGGTGAGCTAGATAGCCGAGTAATCATCTTGCCAATATTACAATCAGAGGTTTTAATTTCATCAAGTAACGACCCTTATGCCGGCCGTGAAGCAAGTAGCACACAAGAGCGCAACGCTCCTCGACATATGGAGGTGTCCTTAGTTTTCCTAAATACACAGTAGCACATCGACTGCAACTTCCTGTGTACGGGCTACCCGTAGATGCCACAATTCCTGCTGATGAGTTTGGTCTAGAATTCGAAACGCCAGCAGTTCTTACCTCAGCGATCGTCTCTACTTTTACTCAACTACTTCCTGACACTCACATTTTTTTGCTTGTGTTGGCTAATTGTCACTAATCGAACCCTCTCGAGGCCTTCGATGTGTTAGAGTCTTTGTTGAGTGCCCTTATGTAACGAATCTTCGACTTCTTTCGTAAAAGAAAATAGCTCCATGCAAATATGGTCCCAATTAAGTGTAAATAAGCCTGCCTTCTTATTGTTACTCTTTAATATATTACACTACCTATGCTTTCTTATTGTAGCTGAAGAGGTATGCGGAGCTGACGCGGCTGCAGAATTGCACGAGCCTGCCTACTTTGTGGATTTCCTTCGAGATGCCCCTGAACCCACAGGTGAGGAGGATGATGATGCTACTTTTGAAGCTCCCAAAATTTACGAACCAATCAAGAGCCTGGAGAGCCTGAATGAACGCCTGAAATTCTTCCAGCAGCAGTACAATGAAGTTGTTCGTGGCAGTCAACTGGATCTGGTCTTCTTCACGGACGCCATGACACACTTGGTTAAGATTTCCCGCATCATACGCCTACCAAAGGGTCATGCTCTCCTCGTGGGTGTTGGAGGATCGGGAAAGCAGTCACTTACCCGGCTGGCTTCCTTTATTGCCGGCTATCAGACCTTTAAAATAAGTCTCTCCCGGTGTGTTTCCTTCGCTTCTATTAAGTTGACCTGAGTTTTTTTCTCCACTTTGATGCAGGAGATAAATAGGATGATTCAGTAAGCACTAAATGTGTGGCGAGGTGTCAGTAATTCGTATAAACTGGGAAAAACGTATCCCAAGAAACTTTAATTTGAAGAAGAAGAAGAGTTCCTTTGGGATATAAGATAAATTTAATTAGTGAGTTTTCGAGTCTTGTGCCCCAGCTCGTCTTCGGAATAACAAAAAATATGCAATGAACAACTAAAATTTCAAACGTACGGAAAAAATCAATAGTTATACGGGGTGAGACCTGATTGGTAGGTGTGGCCTCAGTCAGTCTGTGTCTTGCCACCTCCCTGTCTTCCACCCTTTCTTTGAGGTGTTCATAAATACCATCTAATTGTTTGTGGCGGTTTATGCATGAGTCGTTGGAGTGCATGGCCTCAGGAAAGTCTCGGCCATTTTTCGAGGGGCAAGCTCCGATGATGCGTGTTTTATCCCATGCAGAGGTGTGTCCTGTGTCGATGCAATGCATAGACTTTTCGGGCCAGTGGTCACGTCTCTTCACGGCCAATTGGTGCTCGTGGATGCGTGTTGAGATGGATCTGACTGACTACAATTGTGGGCTCCACGCGAGACCCAAACTACTGCACACCTTTGATATCGGTAAAAATTGGGTCACAATTGGGTCAACAAAATTAACCAAATCTGCCAAACCAACTTAATAATGAAGTCAGCCTAGTAGTCATTCTGGT